CCATCACTCAGACTCAGACAGAGAGGAGTCTGCAGCAGCAGCCAGAATATGCTCACTTGTTTACTGTGGATGTCACTGTAGAGTGCAGAAAAACACATAAACTGCTCGGAAAAAAAAGAAAAGAGCGGCCAGTTACTGCAACATTCTGCAATTTACATTAAATTTACTTTTCAGAATCGAATTTTGAAAGCCTGTTCACGTTTTCCTCATATGACGAGTTATATTTTTATTAAAACAAAACATAAACTAGTTTAAAATATTAGGGAAGATGGCATCCTGTCCTGGCTTGGGTTAAGAAAATAACACCTAAATGGTGACTATATGAATCTTTTTTGGACTAAGGATGAGGTGGTGTTGCACATTGGAGAGGGTGAGCAGCACAGACAGCTCTGCTTTCTACCATTCTCACTTTTGTTCATCTACTCTCACAGAAAAACTGAGTGAAGCAGCTGAGCAAGACCATAATAAACAGGCCTGGCTGTTTGCTCATCAGTCGGGTCAGAACTGAGTCTATCCAAAGATCTGCTTCAAGTAAGATATTAATCTATCACACATTTTCTCCAGAACACCACTTAAAAATGCTGAACTATTCCTTTAAACTGTTGTTGAAAACAAGCTTGCATTCTTGTTGGATGGCATTTTAGAGGAAACAGAAGAACTGACTCAGTCCACTGACTTGTACAAAGGTTATTTTTCAGGCGTCCAGAACAAAGAAGTTCTTTACTTTCTTTGATTATATTTTTCTTATGTTGTCACGTTTTGGTTGGTGGTACAAAAAATAAAAAATAAAAATAAAAATATGGAAACCCTGCAGGGGAGCTCATATAACGTGACACCTGGTTTTACTGAAACAGAATTTGGACCAACAGGTTTTAACGTGGTTTTCTTGTTGTTGTCAAATTATTTCCTGTCATAAAATGACCCGGTCTAACCTTCAGATTCTAAATGTTTTCAGRGTTCAGATTTCACCAGACGTCTAGTGGTTTTGTTAGGAATGAAACTGGATTGTGTTATAATTAGTTCAGGAATGTGCTTTAAATGAAGACATGGAGATAGTTCATCAGCAAAGAATTAAATACATCTTGAGCTAAAAAAATGTGTAGTTAAAAGAACAACACAATTTTCTTTAAAAATTCAATGGTTTTCCTGTTGTGCAAAAACATTTATTGTTTTTCTAATTTAATTCTGCTTTAATGACATTAATGCTAACTTCTTATAAAAACATTGTTTTGAAAATGCTTTTTTTAATAAAAAGATTTTGAAAAATCTTAGGTGATTAATGAGAGTGGCGCAAACCTTTATAATAGTTTTTATTATTTAAAGAAAATAATCTAAAGACTGGATAAAAAAATTCAAGATTTTTTTTATTTGTTGATTTTTTTTCCAAATACAGTCTTGTATTCATTACAAAAACATTGCACAAAAATACAGAATCGATATAAATACATTTTTAGAAATTAAATGCTCTGTGAATAAACCTAAGAGTTTTTCAACTAAACCAACCAAGCTTTTCACAGAAAAATGGCTCAATTATTTAAAAAATGAAAAACGTGACTGTCTGGTAAAACATTTAATCTTTTTTTATGTTTTTACTGAAAACAATGCAACTGCTCCCCTTTCATGTCTATTTGTTGTTTTATGAAAGRCAAACTAATGAAAAAATGTTAATAAAAACACAGTTTATTTACTGTCAAAATATATTTGTTCATTTCCGGAAAAGTTGCATTTTCGAAATTTTTGCTTTCTGCCAAACAGATACCCAAAATATAAATTATTTGAATTATATTGTATATATAACAAATTTACTTTGTAGCCATTGTTCATTTTAATAAGAAGTTGTTGAAGACATAGCAAAATTCATTAGTTTTAATTGCTTAGTGTTAAAATTAATACATTTAATTTGAAAGGCAAAGACGGTCTGAAATAAGATCTGATTTGCATAAAAATACAAACTTTGAAATRAACACATTATTCTCGCAGTTTCTATTCTCTCTGCAACCCTGAGCAGTTTACATAAATAATATGTAAAATAGGCCCGCATTAAATGAGACCCTTCACAGACTCACCAGCAGGGGGCTCCAGCAGATGCAGGAGGTGACCATGATGCCCACCAGCTGAACCACCATCTCCGTGTCGTGGGACCTGGCAGAGAAGCGCTGGGAGCTGGACTTCTGCTTCATCCTGGCCCGGATCAGCGTCATCCCACTGATGGTGTTGCAGACGAAGGCCAGAGCCAGAGAGCTGAAAGCCAGTCCAGAGAACAGCATCACGAAGGCCAGGTCGGTGGACTTAATGTTGTTCATCACCTGGATGAAGCACCACGTCCACGGGTACTGGTAGGTGTAGTCACCCAGGTGGAAGAAGGGCAGCAGGGCCACGCAGAGGGCCAGGAACCAGATCATGGACAGGGCTATTTTGGTTCTGGCCGTGGTCACCAGACGAGCGTGCAGCAGAGGCCGGGTGACGCCCAGGCAGCGCTCGGCAGCCATGGCGCAACCCAGGAAGAGCGGGCACAGGCCGAAAAACACCAAGCAGCCTCCCAGAAACTGACAGGGCGCGTCTGGGTTCGCAGGGTCCCCCTTAAACGTGTAATTACTTTTAGAGCTCGCCGTGTACCTCCTCAGCACCAGCGCTCCGGAGACGACGTGTCCGGCCAGATCTGTGGCCACCAGGGAGCTGGCAAAGAGCAGAAAAGTGGCCTTGGACCTCCGGCGAAAGCGATTGTAAGCCTTGACCAGAATAACGAGGGCCACCACGTTGAAGACGATGCCCAGGGTCATGTTGAGGCTGGCGGACGCCGGGTTCTGAGACGTGCCGTTGTGTGGACAGTGCGTGTCGGACTCCATGACGGCGCGTTCAGAGGAGGCCTCCACGCCCGGGGATGTGAGGTGCTGCATYGTCAACATCACAGCTGCGCTCTGGGCCAGATGTCCCTTCTTCGCCTGACACAACACTAAAATGAGGGGGAAATGACCAGATTAGAAATAATAAAATTATTCAGCGCGCCAACTTGATTAACCACGACCCTTTTCTGTAGCAAAATGACTTTCAGGCCCCATAATAGAGGATGAGACCCATCTTTCCCAAAATATCTCGATAATATCCTCCAGCAGAAAAAGAAGTCAGATCCTCAAACACAACAAAACCAAAACACTGACCAATTTAACGAGGGCCAATTTATACGAATTAAAGCACTGTACTATCCTWCTGATTGGGAAGCACATTACGTGGTGTTTAAAATGTACAAAAAACAAATCAATCTCACAAACATGATGATATCGAAACAAACTGAGTGAGGAAACTCCACAGCTTCACAGCAGAAGCATCAAAGTTCTTGCAGATCACAGGATGCAGGATTTTTATTTCTTTATTCTTTTTTTAGTTTTTACCACAAAAYTTTCACCTCAGACCATGACGGTTCTTCTTCTGAGGCGTTTTTGTGTTGTTTTAAGCCACTTTGTCTTGCACTGCTTTAGGAGTGCAAAGTGTGAACACCCCAGCTCTCATCGACTTCCATCGTGTCTGAGCTCAAGAGTTTTCTATTCAAAACAGGAAGCTACGTATCATTTCGTCTACATAATTTCACACCACACCACATGTTGACTAACTTTAAATGCCCGATGTCCAAAAGCAGCACTGGAGACAACTATGTTGCCCGAAAACGGTTTATTTTGCTAAGAAGCCAACAAAGTGTCTACTGTCCCATCGACCTGTTTCCTGCTTCAAAGTAAAAACGATGCAAACGTTTAAAAACTGGTAGAAATTTCTTGAAACGTAATGAAGTTCTAGATTTCAAATAGAGGCTGTTATGTTCGAGTCTGTTTTGTCTGGAAGAAGCGAGACTCAGGTATGTGGTTATATGGTGACACACATGAGCCATCAGCTTCCACATTTCTTATGGTCTTGGTTTTCTTCAGCCTTCCAAATTTTYTGAAATCCTTTCCTGTTTTGACGTCCGTATTTTTCATTTGGAAATGTCGAAACACATCCAGAGGTGAAAACATCCACTCCAGCTTCACACCCCCCTCCACCCCCACACCTGCTCTAAAACCTTGACTACCTGTCGTGTTTTCAAGGAGACCTTCTAATGATCCCCCGCCTCCCCCTGAGGAGAACGGTTCTAACCCTGCCAGACCAGCRTGWCAACATTGTTCCTGGACGCGGAGTCATGTTTTAAAATGCAGCCCAGAAACAGATTTCCAGCGTGCACTCTTGTGGGATCTCAGAGGACGAGTGTTTTCTCCTCTGATGAGGGAGAGGAGGGAAATCTGAGCAAGTCCTGACAGCAGCAGCTGAGCACCAAACATGCATTCCTGTAAAATGCAAATAAAGAGCTGCAGCAGCCAACAGGAGGATCAGCATGAAATCAAACAAACTCCCAGGCTAAACATGTCTCTTTATTTACCACAAAATGATGAACACATCTATTTTTAACATACAAAAAGCCCTGACTTGAAGTTGTTGGGTCCCGCTGTCAAACCACATTTTTACATATTATCCCACCTGTGTTTAACTTTCAACTTTTATGTTTTGTTTTAAGTGGTTTATTTGATTTAAAAATCTTTATTTGATGTTAAAAATAGTTTATTTCATCCCAAAGCTTTCTTCAGTCTGAGGACCTTCTAACATATATCAGTCTCATTAGCAGCTCCTATGTGAAGGTGCTGCTTAYAGGACTGTTTGCTTGATGTTCCTCAGACGAAAGAAGTCTTTTGGATACAAGATGAAACATTTCAATAAAGAAGAACCCATCCAGAAAACCTGACTCAACCTTGTTAGAATATGTACGAAGTATTGTGAAAAAAAAACCCCAGAAGAACTGAAAAGCCAGGTGTTAAAGTAAAAACAGTTTCAAGAAACCATGTTTTTGCACTTATTAAAATTTTAAATATGTTTTGGTTTCCTCTGTTCATTAACAAGTAGTTTATTTGTTTTAATATGGCAACAAACTAAGCTTTTCACCCACATCTTAAAAGCCAAATTTCAGTTTTCAACAAAAATCAGATCAGTCTTATAAAAGTTATGGTACATACCGTTGAAGATCCATGGAGTTGATCAGCGACACTCAGATTTTGACAATTTGTGTTGGATTGTCAAAATTTGTGATACTTTCCAAAAGAAAATCATCCAGCTGTTATATATGTTTTCTCTCGTCTTGTGTTGTTCCAGACAAACACAAGCTGTTTACCTGAAAGTGACTTCCTGTCATGCAGTTACAAAGAACACAGAGAAATTCCTCCCTCCAGACCAGCAGCCTCCTTGTTACGTAGCACAACCATGTTCTCTATTCCTCGGAATCTGTGCTGCTTTTATACTCCACAGCTGCACCGAGCCCACGTTGCCTCTGGGGGGTCTCCGTCACTGGAGACCAGTGATTTCCTTCAAGCAAACACACTCTGGTCTACATGAACGAGCCACTCAGAGACAGATGAATATTTCAGACYCAGCTACGTCTGGCTTCATCTTACCAATAATTGAGGGATAAATGGGGTTTAGATTTTAAGCCGTTAATTCTGTGCAGTATTTGAACTCACGGGTCAGACCTGCTTGATGTTGCTGGAGGGAGACAAAAAGCCTGAGTGACTTATATTAGTTTAGAGTGGAAACTACAACTAAAAATGTATTGATTTTTACATCTTCTCCAACGTTTACTTGACAATCCCAGATGATTCAGGTTTGGTCTTAACTCTTTCATTTTGCCAAAAATCTGATGTTTCATTTGAAACTTGCAGCTGAGAAGAACAATGATAAAAAGTAACAGATAATTTCATTTGAAACAGGTGATGTCATTTGTTGATTGTGTGGTCATATGAATTAATACTTTATGTTTTAATGCAGGGATGTCAAACTCATTTTCACAGAGGGCCACATGAGCATTATGGTGACCCTCAAAGGGCCTGCTGTAATTAAATTCAATGTTTCATGCTTAACTTCAACTAAACACAAAACATCCCATTTCTCGTGTTGATGCTACAGYTGAGCACTGCTAACAATAACTGAGCTCTACGTGGTATTTCCTGCATAGAAACAGTATTGGGCCTCATGCAAGAACCGTTCGTACGCACAGATTTGTTCTTAAATTGTGCGTACGAGTGATTTAGGAGAATTTGTGGCATTCACCAATGNGGATAACTTCATTTCTGGACATTTATGGTTTGATTTCTTTGTATGTATGGATCACTTGGGTTGTTACCAACATCTGGTGAAAATTTCATGTCATTAGCGCCTCTAGTAATATATTTACTGAGAGAAATGTTGACGTATTCAATACTTATTTTACCTGCTGAATGTGCCCTGAGGCAGATTCAAATACACACATTTATACAGTATGTTATCCAGACAGACAACTGGGCCAAGGAGAGAATGATGTTTGATAAACAGCAACAAGAATGATTACTTCTAACAGATATTGTCCTGGTTGTGAAACACTTTATCTGAGAGAAAACAGAGGATAAAGAGTAAAATCATGATGACATTTTAAGGTAGACAAAAGAGATCACTGACTCTTGACCTGAGAAGTATGTGGGACTTTAGGGGGTAAGTTATTTTTCTCATGAGGATGCAGCCAGTGATGTGCGGTCACTACTTTCATCATGGAAATTAAAAAGATAAAACAATATTAAACACATTAAACTGTCATATTTATGTAATGCTTTGTACTATAAACACATTTTCAATTAACTTAAACACTTTTTAATATTTTTCTTTTTCAAAATTGCTGAATTTCCTCATATCCTGCTCAAATACAGGACAAGACAGACAATGCGGAGAAATCAAGTTCCGCCTCCAGATTGCGCAGTTGTTTCAACCCTGTTCTGTCTCCACTTGTATTGCGCAGTTTGCACAATACAAGTGGATACAATACACAATACAATACAATTGCAATACAATTGCGCAAAGTTCCAGTTTATAAAGTTAAAAAAGTAAAGTACAGCAGGAATCCATTTGTTTTCTCGCTTTTAAACCTGACTTTTAGAATGGAGGATTATATATTTTAAAGCAAGGCCATTCAGCTAAATTGCTCCGGGGGCCACAGCTACTGCAGGTCAACAGCTAAAGGGCCGAACATACATCACTTACAATCTTTATGTGAATAAACCAAGTATCTGTTGCCTTTGAAACTGTTTATTTAATTTTTATTTAATCATAAATACAACAAACAGAACCGTATGTAATAAAAGTAGTGATTATAAAACAATATCAAAACTAAAAATAACACATTATCCCTCCTATTTAACACAATATAATTTTGACATACAGTATCTGATTTTTCAAAAATTTAAATCAATTTTATTTTTACTTTCATTGTTTTATCTTCAACAGCTTGTAGTTTTAATTGTCTTGAGTGTGCATAGAAATGTTTTTACCAGCTTGTAGTCAAGATTCTGATGGTTCTGTAGATTCCAAATGTGTCTACTAAATGTGTTTAACTAAAATAACTTAGAGTAATTAAAGTAGAAAACTGGCTTGAGAGAACGATAAACCAATTGGCAGGCCGGACTTCGGTCACTCGGGGCTGGATGTGGCCTGCGGGCCACCAGTTGAATAGCCCTGTTTTAAAGCTTAAACTATTTTCTAAACTGGACTTGGAAGCAGCAGGTAAATAAGATTTGATTTTTGATTTATTTATTTAACAGGAAAAGATTATTAAAAATCGAGCCTGACTCAGCATAATTGCTGTTTTACAGCAGGTTCCTGTTCTGCAGCACATAAAACACTCAGAATTACAGCATCACAATCACATCATTATACAC